TGGAGCACAACTGGATGCACTCAGCCACCCAGCCCTTTGGCAGGAATGGTATCTGTCTGATCAGCAACTGCCCGAGTGTGACAGGCATTGAAAATAAGGCCAATTGCTTTAATGTCTCTGCCAGCAAAGCCATGTGAGAGCAATGAGCGAGTCACCGAGTTGGAGTTGGTTAGGAAAATCTGAGACACTCATTTTATAGTTTTCCCTGGGTATTAGGGGATTTGCTCGCTTTTCAGGACAAATACTGTGTTCCTTCCCATACCCTTTGCTGTCACCTCCTTTAATATAAAACAAATCAACCAGTGGCAGGGAGCATTTACCTTGGAGGTATCTAGGGTGAAGAGAGAAAAAGTAATCTCTTAAGTGCAGGAACGCCCTCAGCACTTTAAACCACAGCATTAGAGCAGGAGTCTCAAGTGTGCATTTGTAATGCTTTTGCCCTTTGCTCTTTAGAGGGTTGATTTGCTCCACAAATACTTTATGAACCTCTTGAGACTGTGGCACCATGTTATTCTTCAAAAGTGTCCGCTAGTAAATTCCCCCTGGATTAGAGCATGGGCTTCTGTCATAACATGTTAAATAACCATAGGCAAATGCTGTCTCCATAAATACAGGTCTGTGTGCATGGTAGAATCACACACAAAACCAGCCAAGACACAATAAAAATATCAACGTTGTATGAAAATAGCGAGAGAGTTGAGTGCCCTGTGTGTTCTGAAATCGACAAACAAAATTCATAAGTCCTTCAAGGGTAGCCTTGTTTGTATGCTGTGTGTGCTGTGGTGTCACCTTTTCTTTGAATTTGACAAATTGAGCACAGCTGAACCAAATAAACTGAGGGCTATGTATCCACAGATCTTTATATTTTGCTGGGTAGTAGCAGTCACTGCACTGAGACTAGTCATCTTAGTATGTTGCCAGAGGGGATTTTCCCAATGAAATTTGTAGCATGGGGAATTTTGGTCTGGAGTTTATAGTCTGCCTGTGGTAAAGCTGAAATACACAATTATATTTATGAATGTAAAAAGAGCTTAAATGCTTAGTGCAGCTTCATGTGTCAATAAGAATAACTGTGCTGCAGGCCTGATTGATTTGCTGGACGTCGGCTTTTTGCATACCCACATTCTGCCTTTGGCTTCAGCAAAGTAACAGTAACTTTCTTTCATGTAGCCGTGCTGAAAATCATACTATTGGGGGCTTCAAAATACGAGGAATCTTCAGTTTTCCCTTGGCTTTGGCTTACTGTGTTCAGGATGTTCCTCTTTTGGGTTTCTCCCTGGTGCCAGTTGGTACCACACTGCAGGGGAGATGGGCAGCACTTTTTGCTCAGTTGGAACATTTTGGCAGGTAGACAGGAGGTTTGGCCTTTGATAGGATTGGGCTGCTGAGGCTTAGTGGTGCCAAAGCTTCTCACAGAGCTGTTATTGCAGGCAACTGTGTGTGGATCATCAGTCAGGTACAGGCTTGATGTTATCCTGCCATCACACCAAAGAGAATTACCAGTGAACTAACAGAGGAAACACAGTAAACCAAATAATTCTTCAAAGGACAGCAATATTCTGGCACTTTCGTAACTCCCTTTCAACAGCTTGCACTCTCACTTTTTGTTCTTGAACTCATTTTGTAATCTTTGCTTTTGGACTATTTGGCTGATTATTATTTTGTGTACTATGAAAAATACTTTAGCTGTCACTTAGTTCTGCTCCTTGTATAATAGATGATCTAAAGACATCATTGCTCAAATGTTTTTGTGTCATAATGTTAAATCCTCAGTCAAGCAGTCCCACCAAATTCAATCTAATTGAACCACAGTTTCATTTGTGTTGATCAAACTTTGATGCGTGTTTCACTGCAAATAATTGCCCTTTATAATGTGTTTTATTTGAAATTTACAATCTGAAGCTTTAGGACTGCAGAAGTTTTTCAGAGTCATAGTTGAAAATATCTAATAAAAAAACAAAAGAAAGAAGATTATAGTTAGAAAAAAGCAGTCAGAGGTCAGAAGTTCACAGCTGATGGTAAAATGGGCCATATGTCCTTTTAATCCCAATTCAGGAGATAAGTAAAATCTGTGTCAGACTCCTTTTCAAACATGTTTAGAACCACAGAAGGAAGGGATACATTGTAACAGTGTCTGTTAGTATTGGACTTTTTTTATATAGGCAAGAGAGAAATGGGAAGGAATTTTTTTTTTTTAAAGCTGGTTATACCAGTTAGGAAAGGTTGGCTTCATACTGTGGTTTTTTTTTTTTTCTTTAGTATATATGAGACTGCAGTTAGATTTGGACAGTTGTGAGAACAAATGGATTTTTAAATATCCTATTTGTTCAAGAAAAATGTAAGTAATTTTGTTGAAACCGTTAAGAAAAAACCCAAAACTTCTAATGGAAGTGAATATGTGGACTAGAAAATATCTGCCCACATGCACTTCAAATTATCTGTCAAATATACTCATTTTCTTTCTCTTCAAGATACAATAATGTTTAGTTCACTCTGGCCAGTTTCATGTTCAAAATTCTATAGCTAACACACAATCTTTAAAAAATATATTGCAGTAAAGAATGGTATATATAGCTGTCTCTTTTAACAAGCAAAGGATGATGGAAACATAATATGATTTTGCTCAGGTCTAAAGTAACTTAGTAGTAGTGCTGCTTTGTTAGTTGGCATGTTGTGGACAGCTGACTATATGTTCTTTTTAATATTTAAAGCTTATCTTCTTCCTGGCTTTTTTTTTAAAGTCTGGATGGAAACACAGCCAAAGGGAGCTTGGGTGAATTTTGTGAACACAGTGGGCTCATCATTCCGCTGTGTCTTCCTATGAAGCAAGTTGATTTTCTCCCTGATGGGTTGAAGAAACACAGGCTGTCCTGGTAAATGAGGTCAAAACTGTTAAATATGAACTTTCCAAATACATGGGTAGGCCTGTGACTCAGGCATTGTTCTGCTAACTAGGCAGTATGAGGTCTGGGGAATCCTATATTTTCCTAGGCTGACTGGAGTTTGGCCTCCAGAAAAGAATTCTCTCTGATTTCTGTATTGAGAAAGTAAAAGTAAACATGCTCAGAATGCTAAGATTTTTTTCTTCCTGATCTGTCCTAACAGTAATTTGACCATAGTTGTGCAGAGGATAGGTTATTTTTAGCCTAGATTCCTAGATCCATGAGAGACCCAACAGAACCTTGCTGTTTGCCTGAGTAATGCAGATTTCCCTGGCTAGGCTGGAAGAGACCAAACAATTCTGTGACAGGGAGATTGTATCATGAGCAGCAGTGAGGTTCACAGAAAACTGCCTGTCAGTGTCTGTGCTCATGGAGTTCACTGACTGATGTTATTTGTGACAGTCATGTGGGGCACAGTGCTGTCTTGAACGTACTCTGTGCTGTCCAACCCAAGAAGCTTTTTGGCCATCGGAAAATAGAGATTTTCTTATGGAATTTGGACTGTACTTCAACTACTCTTAGAGAAGACATGTTTATTATGTATGAGTTTAAATTTTAACTCAACTGTTGGCCTAATTAATCAGTGAGTTCAACAGAAACTGCAGGTAGTGACTAAGGACTCATTCCGACCAGGGATAAGGTACATGGGTAGGACTCTGTGTCACCAGCCCTTGCTAACTGGACCTTGCTTGAGGTCTCTGGAAAGATCCCATGCAAGGGGAATCTTTTTTGGCACTGTGGGGCTTCCAGAAATACAATATTTGACAGTGTCATGAGGAGCAGTTGCTGTTTGTTATGTACAGCCTGGCTCTGTACTGTGAGCTGTTCTGTTCCTCTCACATATAGAAGTTATACTCTGTGATCTGAGTTTTAGCACTAATTGAGAGCATGGCACATGCAACTTGAAAGAGAGTAATCAGGATGAGATTCACTGCTCAGTACTGTCCTGATGGGACATTTGCAGTTGGGTTCTTTTTCCCCCTTGGACTGAAGATTGATGAGAGAGAGGCAGTTCTCTCTTGTTTGGACTTGGTTGTTTATTCTTCTTTGATCTACATTACATGCATTCAAGGTACAAAGAGTTACGTGCACTAAGATAGAAAGGTGCAAAATGGCTAACAAAGAACTTATTCAGGGTCTTTTATATGTCCATTCATCCAGTTAACAAATGCTAAGTAAATTATTTTTCTTAGTGACCCAATGACCCAACATCTTTGTGCTGCACTGCAGCATTCTCTATCCAGTCACTTTTTACTACCCAAAAAACTCTAGAAGAAGATGAAGAAGGAAGAAGAGACAACATCCCAAATCCTCCATCTTGTGTTTTGTTCTCTAAAGTAGTTCAAACTAACTTTTTCACCCAGTGACTGAAGAAAAGTTTAATTTACACACTCACACTCTTAGTTTTTCTATTTAACTTTAATAGTTGTTTTCATGGTGTTAAGTGAAATTCAGTGCTTTTTTACATGTCAGAGCCAGGTATCAGAGATAAGGGCACACACTCTGTGCCTCTTTGACTCCAACACAGTACATCACAAGGCCTCAATATTCAAGTATACCGTAGCTCTCAACAGAGGTGGCACAATCCTCTTCTGGCCCTAGCACAGGGTGAATTTCATGCAGGAATGCATTTCTTCAAAGCTATTTAAGCCTCTAGAAGTTCAGGCAGTATTTAGTGGGATTTTCAGAGCTGCGTATCTCAAACATCTACTGCAAAGTAAATGGTATTAAGGTATACAGTGATTTTTTTAAATTATTGTCTGCCTCACTAAATGTCTGCCTACTGAGAAAAAGTACTAGAACAAATCTGGCTCCCAGTGTCCATTTATAATTGTCTTAGAAATTTGTCTCTGACTTGAATGGGAAAGGATTGTAAAAAGACTTAAGTAATTGGCATCTGATTTCATTACTGCACAGTGTGGTTTTATGATTTATTGAATAGTTGCCTAGATAGTTTAGTAGCCTGTATAGTTTGTTTATTTGATACTAGGAAAAACATTTATATAATTCTGTTATGAACTCTCCTCTTCTGAAGGGATGTGTTTGTCCCCTCTACAGGCCTGCCTTCTCTGTAATGTTGAGACATTTTCTAGGAAATTGCCATGGCAAGAAAAATTGCATCTCTCCTCTCCTCCTCTCTCTGCAAAGAATATCCTATTATTTGTGAAAGGTAAGTGCTTTGTGTAACAGCTGCAATCAATGGTGTGATAGGTGGTAAAAATTAACAGTGGTGGTTTAGTGCATAAGCCAACTATTTGAAAGTGAAATTAGAGCTGTCAGGCCTCACACTGTCCCGTTGCTGACCACTAAAGATTTGCTAAGCCATTGTTGGTAGCATGTTTGAGAAGTTTTTGATGGAGGCAGCAGACTAAACCTCAGGGTGACTCTATACATCAGCTTCTCCTCGTCCAAGCATGAACTTTCAGATGTGTCTTGCTCCTGGTGAAACAGTTTGTATTTCAGCCAAGGTACCAGGGTGAGGAGGGCAGCTTTGAGTGTCACTGTGTTTATGTACCCAGATTACTGAGAAACCAAGTAAGAATGCAGCTGTGAGCCTTTAAAGCAGCATGCCATGGAAAAATAAAACACGAAGTATTTATGTGCAGGGGGGAATGTACCCAGTGTTTTGTGCATTCCAGCAGAGGCCTCAGTAAAGATTGGAATTTTAATTCTCATCTGACAACATTCCACGAAGACAACTTACATTCCCTTCCTCTTTCCCCCTCCCAGGAGATTAATGTACAAAAAAAAAAAAAAAAAATTGGCTGATTATTTATTCTGCCTTGGCTATCGAATAACTGTGGGAATGCCAGCACTCAGAGTAGCTAGAGTACTTTTGGTTAGTTCCTCATTTGGTTTTTCTGGGATTCGTTAGTGTTAGCTGGTTTTCTCTCTATATATTGTTATTCAAAATCAAGATTAGAAATGTCTCCAGCTACACTTGGATCTCTGCAGGGACTCTTCAAGTTTCTTTTAACTACACACATGGTCCAACCCCCACATGCCTGTTGGTGTAGTATAAGGCAGGAAAGCAGTGAGGCAATGACTCATGTAAATTTCTCAACAGCACAATTGAAGTACCAACCCCCACCTATCCCAGTAGGAACAAAGATCTTGAGCTGCACACCACCTGCTGTACAGTATTCTTATGTTCCAATTTTTTTTTTGTTCTGAGTGTAAATATGGAAAGTAGGCCCGTGTTCAAGGAATTTGAAAGAAGGAAATGTTGGTTTTGGAACTGACATCAGTGTGAGATCAGGAGAACCAGACTTTGCACACAGTCGTCTGTTCATTTCTGGATTACAAACTATACACAAAAAGGTGCAGAAGTCTGTTTCTTCTATATATATATAAAGTGGGGCTGTCAGCATTCATAATTATCCCATTTCAGCCACAACTCATGACTAACATAGTCAGTTAGTTAGTTGTATAGCTGAATTCATAAAATAATGAGTCTAGCCCACTTCAAATGAGGATGCTTTTTTTCTTCTTCTAATTCTAGTAGTAGTCACAGTAAAACTTCTTCATAGCAAAACCTTCTGTTTAGCACTGTTAAAAAAAAAGTGTCATCTTAGAAAAAAACACATTGTCAGTGGGATCACCTTCTCTTTGCCTTTTAATTGATAGTCATGTTTTGTAGAATGTCAGTTTTGGCCCATACTGTGACGTAGCTATGAGAAGCAGAGCACAAGACCCACAGTCCAGCAAGGAGGGCAATGACTTAAGTTATACTTTTCTGCTTCTGTGATTCTAGACATCTTCAGCAGCTAGGGAGATTATCTCATGTGTGACATGTGTCCTGTAGTACTGCCCCTGGCAGACCTCTGGCCTCTGAACTGTCACTGGGTTGCTCAGAAGCCACCAGTGTATTGTGCATTACTTAACTTGATTCTTCTCACGCGCCTTTTCCTTGGGTAAATGGGTGAGAATCCTTCCACTCAGCTTCATTAGTTCCTAACATAGATTAACACCTCTGGAGTTGTCCAAAGAGAGAAACTGGAGATTTGAAAGCTAATTAATGTGTAGGTGGCAGAGCTATTTTTTCCTCTCTGGTTTACACTACTACTTTTGAGCTCAATCATGAGCAACTAGAGGAGATGAGGACAAGCATCACACCATACATCCTATATGTAAGCACAGGGTTACCTGTGTCACTGGGCTCTGCTCAGGATGGTAGGGAAAGCTGTCCTGCAGCAGTGCTACACATGATGGGGGGGAGGGATCTTACAGGGAGGAAAAGGAGCAAACAATCTGTTGCCTGTGTCTCTGTTTCCTGTGTCAGCATTTTGAGATGGCCAAGCTGTGTCACCATAGGAGAGGCCCACCCTATTCAAGTTCAGTGTTAAGAAATTGACTCAGTGCTTATGAAAAAGGCATCACTTATTGCCCAAGCTCCCCAAAACCCCTCAGAACATCTCAGAATCCTCACCCCACCCCATTTCCAACAAAGGCATCACACAGAAAGTGACTGTAAGATCAGCTTTCTTTACATATGTTCTCCCACTGTACCATGTTGGCAGCATAAAAGGATAGACAAATGGAAACTGTCCCTTAGGAAGACCCTTTATAGATGGAAGGCATTTATTTGCCTTTGTCTGATTGTTCCTTGCACCCTTTTAGAAAAGTTAGCTCTGTGCTAGCGGATCTGCCAGACTATGCTGTGACATGGGCCCCACTGGAGGTGTTATGAACACAGTGTGCTCTGGCTCCCTTCTGCTTGGAACACCCTGAACCTTCACAGGCTCTATTCACAGCAGATGAGGAAGACAGGTACTCAAAAATTCTTCTCCTCTAATCAAGCTTAAGAACCAGAGCACTGAGCAGGAGAGCTGGTATGTGGGCTGGCTGCCTAGAAGGTAGCCCTGGGTTTCAGAAGTAGGATCATGTGGTTGTATCAGTAGGGTTTGCTCACAGAGATGGCTCTGGCTTAGGAATCACCCGATGCAGTGAAGCACCTACTTCCCTTCTGGTAAGGAGGAGGAATAGCTGGGGGGGAGGTTGATGGGCCAGAGTGTGAGCTAGAACATTCTGAAAGCTTTTTCTGGGAATTGGCAAATACTCTGGGACTTTGAGGGCCTAAGTATATTAATCTGTGTAATTACCTTTTGCCCAGTATCCTAAGCAGTGGATGGGCATTCTCTGAGTGTAACCAAATGCAAAAATGAATGCTCGTCTCATTCTCTTTTAAGTTTTTAAAATTTTTTCTTGATTGGTTGTTTTTTTCAGTTGAACTAATTAAAATCAAAGCTTTAGTTAAAACCTTGTATTTTTCAGGTTAGTTGTAGTTCAGCATTAATGCCTGGGTTTGATACTGCTTACAATAGCAGAGAAGCAATTGTCTTTTATGGTGGCTATAAATCTTATTTTCCAGAAGTTAATGTAATAATAATAGTTTTAAGGCTCTCTTATTACCAGCTGTAAGTCTGATTTTCTAACAAGACTCTGCTAATTGTATTACTCTGGCTTCAGCAGTTTTCTTTGTGTCAGAGTCCCTTAGAGGGGCAGTAGATTCTTAGCCAGAGCTCTTGTTTTGATCCTGTAAAATGTAGTTTTGCTGTAATAGTAGCTTGTTCTTAATAATTTTTATCTGCTTTATTAATTTTTTATTGTCTAGATTTTGTTATATCAATTACTTTTGCATTGCTGACAGCCTAACTTTATGTAGTATAAATAGATCAGTATCCACAAACTGTCTCAACTGAACGTAATTACATTAATCTCAGTGAGTACAGCATTCTCCTCACCAGCTGGTAGAATTTTGCTTGTATTAAAAGTAAAATTCTCAAAACATTACATTACTTGAAAATTAATTTGGAAAACTATCCCCAAGAGTCTCTTTCATAGTCTGCTGCTGTGAAAAATAAATGGACATGTCAGAATCTGCCTTCAGCCGTAGGAGGTTTTGAGGTAGGTAGTGTGTAGTCTGTTTGCCACATCTTGCTTGTGACCTTCCAGCATTCACAGTTGCTCTTGGGCAGTCACTGGTGCATGGCCCAGCAGGTCTAAAAGGGAAGTAAAATGACAGTATGAAGGGCAGGGCTATAGTCAGTTCTGTATAGGGAGATGAAAATCCATATTTTGGGCTCATGTTACCTGACTGAACCTATTACACAGTCTCAACTTTAGCTAGGTAGAGGGACATAATATTTTTGACTGATGTTAATTTCCATTTTCAGAGACTCACCTTAAAGGCCAGTGTTCAGGAATATTTTTTTTTCCATTTGTGATCTTTATTAAAGACTCTGAGGAAAAGTAGATCGGAAATTACAATTGCATTTGGCACATACTGCACTGGTAATCCAGCATCCTAAGAAAAGGATCACTGTAGCTGAGGATGCAACCAAGGAACTAAAACTTTCAGAGAATGTGTTACTTCCTCTTTGCTGTTGGAAGCTTTGTTTCATTCTGCAATAAAACGTTCAGCATCCTCTGGAAATTTGGGTTTTTGATCCTCTTCTCTCTCTATAATTCTAATGTCCTTCTTGAGTCTCGTTCTGGGCTGCAAACCAGATGTGTTCTGACCTGTTTCTTTGTCTTTGGGAGTTGCTGCCAGACTGGCCTCAATGAAATATGTCACTTCACCTTCCTTTTGGATGAAGATAGATCCATGTTTTTGCAGTTTAGTAACATCTGGGACTGGTAAATACTTAAGTAGGGAATGCATATCCCTGGCAAACGGTGACGGTGGAAAGAAAACCAGAGTGGTGTGCAGAGCCAGCTCGCTGGCCGTCTGCAGAGCGGCCAAAGGATGCTCGCAGGCGGCTTGCCTGCGCCATCTGCCGGAGCCTCCTGCTGGGAATGGTGGGGGAAAGCTTGGCTGCACACACTGCACGGTGCGGGAGAAACAGGAAACGTGCCTCAACCAGAAGGACTCGGTGTGTGTCATCAGACTGGGAGAAACCAGGTGGGAACAACCATCTCCAGGAAGCACAGAGTGTAAAGAATAATTAAAGGTTTGCTTGTGGCTGCATTAATTACGACCTTTCTGGTTGTTTTTAGGACACGAAACTGCTGAAGCCAGTTATATCTAGAACAGTGTTCAAATCTGTATAATGCTGTCTTTTATGGCATGTGCTGCTGCGCAGAAAATAGGACTTGGAAAGTAGTTTAGGGAAAGCTAAATAAGATAATTACTAAGTGGATTAACTTAAAATGGTTTTAAGTTAAAAA